AAATGATCAATAGCGATTGGTAGCTTCTTTCTTTGGAGAGATATATCAATTTCTGTTGTGATTTTGATTATGAGATTAACGATCTCTTATCCAAATTATTATATTCAAGCAATCGATTGGACTTCATTTTTGATCTTTCGAGATCATATGTTGTCTCTCCTTGAGTCTGACTACGATAATCCGGATAAATTCAAAATTCTGAAATCTGAACCCATTAGGGAACGATATAATCACCTTTCTAGATGATATATTATTTATAATGACGTGTTCAATTTCAAAATTCAAAATTAAATATTTCCCAAAGAAAATTAAATATTTTTCAAAACTATATATACCTAAATGTATATTTTTAATCAAAACAGACGCTAAACTCTGTTTCTCTCTACCACCGTGAATATTCCAAGACATAATTACATAAAATATATCAACTTTTAAAACAATCACAACGAAGTAAAAAAATGAAGTAGAAGTTGTAATGTGGAATGTTTCTTATGATTATTGTTTGACTGATTATTTTATTCATAAAGATGTGCTTAATATGAAACTAACATTAAACCTTAGTCTAGCTAAAGAACATATATGTCCTTGAAATGATTATATGTCACTTAATACTTGAATAATAAATAAATTATACTAACAATAACACACCCTCATAATAGGGATACTAAATTTTAATAGCAAAGGCATAAATCTTAATTTCTAAAATAAAAATAGCCTAATCTATAATATATTGTATGAAGACTTTTATATCATAATTTTAAAATGTTGTGGATTTAACGACCAATCCTTTTTAGGTAGAATTATAAGTCCAATTGATTTATGCTTACTCAGACTCTTGGTAGGATTGAAAGTTATAAGTCCCTTGGATTTAATAAAGCTTTGGTTTGAGTTGCTAATTCGGTGGTGGTTTTCACTTTAATTCTAGGATCGAAAGCTATAACTTCTTGTCCACTAGATTATAAGTCATCAATTAAAAAAAAAATCTCAATTCTTTGTTAATGAAACATGAGCCCAAATTTTTATTAAAATGAACAACTCAAATACTAAGTCTAAAATTTAAAATATGAAGCCATAACATAGGATAATTTGGAGTGCTTATGACCTTCTTTGTATCTAGCACTTTCAATTTTTCTCCAGTCATCAAATTTTTTTTTAAAAAAAATCTTAATTCTTTGTTAATGAAACATGAGCCCAAATTTTTATTAAAATGAACAACTCAAATACTAAGTCTAAAATTTAAAATATGAAGCCATAACATAGGATAATTTGGAGTGCTTATGTTTTTCTTTGTATCCAGCCCTTTCAATTTTTCTCCATTGATTTTTTATAAGAACTATTCCAAAATTTAACTCATCTCTTTTAAAATTTTAAAAGCACATCCTTTCTTTAAACTTTGAAATCATAAAAGTATTTGTAACTACTTGAGTATCCTCAGGGATTAATCCACATACAATATGGATATCACGGGATACTTATCAATAAAATCATTATTATCATGAAAATATATTTTGTCCGTTATCTAACATCAACCATAACCTCAAAGAAAGAAAATCATCATACAAATAAAAGAACAAAAATAGAAATTTTCCATGAAATTTTATTTCTTGATTAAAAGGACAAAAAAAAATGACTAACATGCATGAGAATAACTTAAGACAATGGAAAATATGCGAACACACCCACAAGAAAATATATATACTCTCCCAGTAGCTATTGGATCATAGGATCTTTAATTTGATCTTTCTTTGTTAATTGCATACAAATTAAATGTCAAAAAAATGAACTAAACACCTAAAGTTTATTGATTCATTCTTGGAGACACTCAACTCTTTCTTAGGAGTGTGACCTCATCCTTCAAATCATTCAATTTTCAACTAAAATTCAAAGTGACTTTATTAAGATTAGGGTTGGACTTCTTGGAGAAAAAATCAAATTGCTTCATCAAATCACTTATTCATTTTTTTGTTCTCCAAAAAAATTTAAACTCCACAATCTTCTAGTGGTCTTCAATCAGTCAAGTTCCAAGGCAAAATGAAAATTGTGAATCATTGCTTTAATACTTTGACAGCCTCAAAACTTATCTTATCCTACATTTTTTACAAACATACCCCAACATCAAACTAGTATGAGCTTTGCATTTATTGGCCTACTCATTTGACCTTAGGACAATTCAATCTGAAAAGAAAGTTTGCAAAATCACTAAGCAAGTGAGCTTGTTAACACAACTCTCCTTGGCCTATTGGTTGAGAGTTTATGCTTCAAACTAAGAGGTCCAAGGTTCGAGTCTATGTGTATGCGTTGTGTGTGTGAGTTTGCCTTAAATGGCCTAAATGTCCCAAAAAAAAAAGTGAGCCTGTTATTTTCATTCCCAATAAATTCGGTAAAAAGTGGCTAGCACTAATACTTCTGCTTGAAAGAAAAGCTCAAAGAATATCAGTTATAGTCGGCTCCTCAACAGTAACTTGACCTTTTTCCTTAATGTCCACTACTTCTGTAAGTTCCTTTTTGTTAACTTTCTTTGGAGGATAGGAGGTTGAAGGCTTCTTTAAAGCCTTGTGCTTTTCTTATGCAATATGCTTCTTCATCAATATTTTTCCATGACCTTATTGAAGTAAACATAATAAGCCAAACAAGTTCAAGAAAAATAAATACCCTCACCCTTATAAGTTCTCAAGGGGAGGAGCTACCAAATCTAAATAAAGAGTCATGATCAAACATTAAACTTATGTAAAAGAACATTTATTTTCTTAATATTTTTAGAGTGATTCAATGATATAAAAGAATTACATAACTAAATGTATATTTGAACATCAGTCTGGTCAACCTTAAGTTAAACTAAGTGACTATGATGATTTAGCACAATAAATGTTCCTACTCTAACTATAGGGTCAAAAAATTCAACCATCTGGGTGGTCTCTTTGGCTAATTGTAATCATACATGGTTATTGGTATCTCAACTTAGCCATGAAGGCCAACCAGGAACGAAATCTTTTGAGCCTCAAATATAATACCTTATATAGATTCAGTTAATCTTGATTAACTTAATCAAATAACAACAAATGGGTTTTCCCCCTAGTTGTGAAGTTTTAAACATATTAAACCTTTAAAATTTGTTTTTGATAGGCTTACTATCATATAGTTTTTATAGCTTCTTCTTATATAACTTTCTTAATAAATATACATCTAAATCCCACTATGAATAGGGGTAGATGCATTACAGGAAAATAGCTCATTAACGACAGGATTTCCGACGGATTATTTATAAACATTTCTGACAAATTTTCAAGAAGAATTTTCGGCGGCTTTTCCGACGTATTATTTAAACCTCTGAAAATATAATTTATTCATTAATAATTTTATAGTTTGTTTTAATTAATTACTAATTTAATAATATATTTTTAATTAATTATTAATTTAATAACATATTTTAATTAATTATTAATTAACTAATTTATTTTGATTATTAATCTAGGCGCCTGCTGGTGGCTGGGCTAGGGTTGCGGACCAGTAGAGCAGCTCAAACTGGGCGACTGAGACAAAAAAAGTTTTTTAACCGTTTTATTTATTCTTATGGTTCTTTTCCGCCGGAAAAATATTCCGGCGAAATTTTTTTCTAGTAAATTTTTTGCGACGGAAAAGTTTTCCGATGCTCGAGTTACCGTCGAACACGTTTTCATTGGAAATCCACCGGAAAATTTCAAAATCCATCGGAAACCTAAAAATTTTTCCTGAAATTCCGTGGGAAATACACAACTTTCCTGTAGTGAAGATGACCTCGGGAACAAAAAATAATTATCTCAAGGCTCTTACTTTCAAACAATAAATAATTTTAGAACTTCTACCATATCTCTTACTCTCATTGGCCATATGCCTTTTATAATCAATCTCATGAATAAGTTGAAAGTTAACAATTTATATAATGTACTCTCTCCTATGCCTTCTCAAGTATTTAACAAGCATATCACACATGTGTCAACATACGAACTTGATCTCGTGGTCTTTAGAAATGAAGACTCGCCTAAGGGTCTCATCAACCCCAACTCAACAAATAGCTATTAAGGAGTTGCCTATCAAGAAACATCAATGGTTCCTATGGACCACTAAGGTTATGTATTACCAAAGAAAACCCTCAGAGATGCTTGCCATCACCTCGGGTGAAGAGTCATCAACAAAACCCATCATCCTTACTATAGGGAAGGACCCTCCTAAGAATATTCAAGCTCAGCTCATCGCACTAGGCTAACCATGGAGGCTACTGCCCTCACGACTTAAGTAAACTTACATCCCACATTAAAAGTAGTCTAGGGACTCCAACCAATAGGTCACCAATGCCTCCAAAGGGCTCGCCAACAATAGTCCTCTTGGTTTGACCCTCATTAGCATATTATATCTACTTGCTTGTGGGTACTTGTCACAATGAGAATTTTCCTCGAGGCTAAGAAGTTGAACTAAAAAATGCAACCATTCAAAGGGCCTATCAAAGCATAACATGGGTTATGTGTTGCCAGTACTAAGGGTCTTTACTATTGTAATTTTTTTCTATTCTTTTTAATGTTGCAATTCCTATAACTCTCATATCCCTATAAAAATGATAAATAGCCATATTTTAGATCTTTTGGCACTTTCTAAAAAAAATTATTGAGCTAGTGATATCATTTTTTTAAAAAAATATCTTCTCCTTTTATACTCACTATATGTTCATGAGTCATAATCTTCTTAGCTTGCTTGCTAGTAAGATCTGATGTCACCTATGAACATATTATGATCCGACATATAACATAATAAAAATAATAATTTATTTATTTATTTTATTGGATGACATGAGAATTTTCAAACCCTCGTTGAACTAGATTTTTTTTTCCTACCAATTTTGACTTTTTTTAATCAACCTGGGCTGGGTAATCCCTTATTTCATTTGGGCCTCCATTAGCCCATAATGAAAGGGCTTAGTATTCTCTTACGGAAGAGCCCACAAATGATTCGCGAAATGCCTTTCCACATATGCTTCCAAACCGCCGGCCAATCTAAATTATCTTCGCAGCGCAGCTATAGATAGGCGACCCTTTTTTCTTTCCGCTTTCGTCAGTCATCCCGCTTCGCCCTAGGGTTTCTTCCTGTGCTCGCCAAGCTGTGCAAAAGGTATATTCGTTTACTTCCCAGCACTATGCGTATCCTTCAATTAATTTTTTATATTTGGTTTATATGTTTACAGTGTTTGATCTAGTTCTTGCCATTTTCATGGCGTTTTTCTCTTTTTAATTGTTGTAATCGGTATATTATTTAGATGATTGATTTTTTTTTGTTGGAGAGTTGCTTTTGTATTAGATCTGATGTTCCAAAACACCTGTACTCTATCGAAATTTACTGGTGTACTTTTCTGTTGGTAATGAGATAGCGGTGGATGTATGTAGATGTTTGAGATCACTTTTTTGTTTTAATTTTTTTAATTCATGTTTTTTAGTTTTGATTATGTTTTAATGTGACGTAAAACTGGTTTGGTATCCTGAATAAATACTATTTTTGTTTCTATTGAATATTGCATAAGGCGCTGGATGGCGGCCGCTGTGACCAGTGGCCGGTGGCAGTGGGCAGTGATCAGGGTGGTTTTCATTTTAAAAAGTTGAAAAATCCTAAAAATTGTTTTGAGTATTTTCAATAATAGCTTGGTTTTCTTTCAAAAATAAAATATAAAATAACAAAAAAACATAAATCAAACATATTTATTTAAAACAAAAACAAAAAAATAAAAATCAAATATGATCCCAAATAGGACCTTAATTTTTTAATTTTTTTGAATACTGTGTAAGATGCTTAGGATTTTGAGATGAATATGACTATCTGTGGTTATGTAGCATCATTGGAATATCCTTTAATATCCCGTTTTACAATCAATCTTTTTTTTTTATTAATCTTGAAATTATTGAATGTTGATTCATTCCTGGCACTATCATCCCTTTTTTCGATTAGTTTTTGGTTAAATTGATGTATGATCTTCTCTTTTCATTGGTGTTTCAGATTTTTCTTGTCACATGGTAATATGATTAGTAGATTATACTTCAATATTTTTCTTCTTAAATGCCGCCTTAATTGATTTTTTTGGTGAATTTTGGTTGCTAATTCTCATTTTGGAAGCTTTAAAATAAAGCTTATTGGTCAGGGAAGCCTCCATATGTTGCCAACTATTGGATTTCCTACATATGATATGTATAAAAGATTTTAACGATATGATATTCCTAAGCAAATATAAAAAATGATTTATGGTGTAATATTGCTAAAAAAAAGAAGAAAAAAGGGGGTGTTTTTGGAATTCTTGGTGTCTTACGTTTGTCAGTAGATATTGCACTATACCACAAAGATCCTGTGGAGACATAGCTCATAGTATATGGTGCAGTGCATATTATTTTAAATATAGTGCAAAATATTAAAAAAAATATGTATAATGATGTAGCTAAATATACATGATCATTTATGAAAAATAACTAGATTGTAAAATAAACTATTATTTTAATAAATAATGAAGTTTATAAATAAAACAACCCTTCTTATAATGGAAATTATTTATGATTTGGCTTAAGTGCTCAACCACTCAAAATTCATAGCATTACATTTTGTTTTAGTCAAGATTAAAAAAAGAAATCATATTGAGAATCATTATCATCATCATCATAACAAATAATTGCATCATCTCTTTCACCGTCATCGTTATCATCTCCTAAATTATAATATTCTTTGTCTCCCTCATTATCTCTATGTTCCTTTGCAAGTATGCTAAACCTAAAAGAAGATTTTTTTTTTAATTATTCAGATTGCTTTCGAATATTGTAATTTTTTTATCATAAACATGACTGGATTTTCAATAGTGCTCCAAGTCAAGGTTGAATACATCAATTGGAGTCATTGTCATTGCCTTCGTCTTCAAAATCCACTTCAATTCTTGGTGTTGAAGCCCAATGTGCCTTATGTTCATCTCGAAGCCTTGGCAAAATTTAAGGAAAAAAAAAAAATGAAAACTAATAAGAAGATAAATCAAATAATATTAACATTATTTTTAAGTAATAAATTAGAGGAATTTAAATAGCGTGCGCTGTAAGGGCAATGCGCTAGGCACTATTGCCCATACATAGTGCAAATAGCGCCCTATACTTTGTTACCCATCACTATGCTGGGGAAATAACATATGCTATTGTGCACTATTGACATTCATGGACTGTTAAGTTGCTAGTGGAGATGGTTTAAGCTAGGAGCCCTATCTTTCATTTTGGATTTTCCTTAGTTTACCCTTTTTATTAGTGGAGATAGGTGTTAAATCTTACACCCTTCAGTATTTATAGTCCAAGTTCTCCTTTTATTCATATGAAGTGGATGTTGTTATTCTAAGTAGAACCTCATAGGTGGCACAATCATCTATTTTTTTTTTTAATTCATCTTTAACATAGCATTACTTATTCATATTGTAACTTTGTTATTTTAGGGTTGAGTTTTGAGATTGTATTGTGCTAATTTAGTGGTTTAGTATTTTAAGTTGAAAAATATAACAAGATGTTGGGAATTAAAATTTTGAGGAGTTTGAGAAGAGGGGTTGGGGGTTGGTAATTAAGGTTAGTGGCATAATGGATCTTGCAAAAATTGAAAAAATTATGACCATTGAATAATGGAAGAAAGGGAAGAGAGATATGAGGAGGCATGGTTTGAACTTCTGTTTAAATCATTGCATTCTATTGATAATGGTATAGAAATGGATGAAAGAAACATGAGAAAAAAGTTTAAGGGAGAAGGTGAAGGAGCAGACATTTGGTGAGGGAGATTGTGGACCTAATTGTGGTCTTGCAAATATTTATTTATTTTTTAATGATTAGTTCAAGAGATTTTGATGGAAGGGATGCATGATGAGGGATGGTTTGAAGTTTGAACTCAACATTATGCTGTTGTGTTTTCTAGAGTAGGTTGCACAAATGATTAAAGTAGGGAGAAAAAAAGTTGAAGAGAATAAGGTAATAAGCATGCATATTGCAATGAAAGTTTTGGAGCTAAAGGAGATTTTGCAAAATGAGAAGAATTATGTATGGTAAATAAGAGAGGAGATGGAAGGGAGGTTTAAGTTGGAGTGGTTTGAACCTTACTCTTTATAAGTGTGTCCTACACAAGAGTGTACACAAATGGGCCAAAGCAAGGTGAAGGGAAGAAGTGAAGGAGCATGCTTGTGGAACTTGTAAACGGCGAATGACACACCATGACGCATAGCGCACGACACGCGCCATTTTTAACCTGGCGCAAATTATAAAATAATTATAAAACATAGGTATTAATATGAAACATCGATAAATTGAAAGATAAATTATCATAATAATTAAAAGAAAATCAAAGTGATGCATAAATTCAAGTAATCAAAGTCTAATAAAAGTCCATCTCACATTGGAATGTCTCGTTATTTCAATGCAAGGTTGATTAATTTTCTAACTTGTAAGTTAAATTTTGTCCATCATAAAACATCCACCCATATATAGATACCTATATATAGAGAGCCATAGATGCATATATGTTACAATAATTTAAATATAAAGAAGTACATAACAAATATAAGGATACTTTGTGTATGCCACTTTGATCCAATTTAAAGTTAGGACTCTACCTAAACTTGGCTCAATGCAAGCTTGACTTTGTTAGGTTGTTGCTTCATTAATTTAGATTGGCACTTTTATCGAGCAAAATGCTGATTTGATTTTTAAGAGATTTTTTATCATCAATTCAAATTTACAACCCTATTCAGAGCATTATGTTGTGGGCTCATTTGCTCCAAACATCTTAAAATAAATCTCTGCATTCCATTGCAATTTTTGTGGAAAAAGTGAGAAACAATTAGACTCTATAACATGAAGAAGTTCAGCTTGCAAGGAACTGCAATCATTTGTTAGGAAGGCTTTATATACATACATATATGAAGCATCTTCGCCAACTGGACAATAATATGTAGCAAGGTGAAGGTCTCTTACTGGTTTCATACTTTAGACATTTTTTTATTGATGGAAGTTTAAAAATAATAGAGGTATAATGATACCATCATCTGATATATAAAATTAGATATGGAATGAAGACATTAAACTTGATGATCATGGAGCTGATAGGAAATACTTGAAATCAAGTATTTCCTATTCACCTTTACAGCAAATCTCCAAGAAAAACTGCTGTCCGGAGCGGGAAAACAGTGAAAACAGCGGAAAAACTGAAGGAAAACTGAGAGAAATTCATAGAAAAACTTGTATTTTACTAGTAGATGCAAGGAAATTAGCAAAGATACAAGGATCCTCTATCCGAGAGGAGGATCGCACTCTCCCAATCTCTAGAATTAGATCTAGAGCCCTAGCTACCAAAGAAGACAAGAAAACTCTCACCAAAACATGACATAACCCTAATCCTCCCTCTTTTCCCTACTTAATGCATACAATTCAAATTAGATACAAAAGGACCTAATTACCCATGCTACCCTTCCTTTTGGCTCCAAGAAAACATTTGAATTTCAAGTGGACCCCACTCCTTCCCTCTCCTTTGAGTCCGCCTGCTTCCTCTTGCGGGAATACATCCGGACCGGCCCAAGTGGCTGGGCCGGCTGGACCGGTCCTCCTTGCGCCGGTCTAACAGGAGTCTTGAACCTAAAAGAAAATTTATGGATGGATAAATGATTAATATAGGAGAGATGGCTTGCTACCTTCAGCTGAAGTAAGAAAAGGCGCAGGAATAAACTTACGGTCGCTACCTTCGTGAAGTGCGACTTTCTATCCGACAGGAAGAGTGAGTCGTGACCTAGTGATGATGTAGAGAGCTCTTGTTACATTCTGTCGATGTAGGCATAGGAAGAAATGATGGAAGGACGAAAAAGGCGTATCGGAGATCGTTACCTTATGGCGAGCCTTCTTTGTGACTTCTTATCAGACGTCTTCGTTGAAGCAGATGACGAAGAGGGTGTCGTGAATCGTGACTGCTGACTAGCGACGAAGGAGAAGGCGGCGGAAGCAAGCGAATAAGCAGAACAAGCGAATTGAACATGTAGTAGCAGAACAATCAAACCCTTTCCCTTCGGGAGTGTTGAAGGGTTTGAGCAACAACAACCGTAAAGCTTCCTTCGTGAGTGTCGAAGGGTTTGTGCAGCAAATAAACCTAAATAAAGTTTAATAAAAACCTAGCTAAACTATTTTTATTATATCATATAATTTTAAATTTCATTATTACATTAACTTAGAAATTAAAAATATGTAAGTATTAAAAAATCTATATAATTATTTTAAAAATTTCCTAAATAAAATTGTGTGTGCTTATTGCGCCATATGCCACGCATCATTGCGACCACATGGCGCAAATAGCGTGTGTCATTTTAAACCTTTGCGCCGCGTCATATAGATGGCATCGTAGGTGTGCTACGCTGCGACGTGTGCCATGGCACAACATGATGATTGCTATTTTGCGCCATTGACATGTATGTTGTGGAGCTAAAGGGGGCCTTGGTGGGTTGAAGGTATCATAGAATTTTTAGAGGCATATTTAATTGTTAGGTCAAAATGGGGAGGTTAATGATCTAACTTTTATTTGTTGGTGGAGGTTGGGTTCGAGGAACTGGAGTTAGACATGGATGGAGGGCTGCTGCTTTGACTCAGATGTGTAAGAAGCGAAGAGGCTAGAATGAAAGGAAAAAAAAAGGTTTAATTAAAATGGAAAAAGTAAGGTAGACCTGAGGATAGATGTTTTGAACCCTATTTTCTATTGTTGTGTATGAAAGGAGGGTATATGGTGGCAAAGCCAATACTCAAGTTAGGGGACATAATAATTGGTGTATGCTTTATAATTACTCAAAAAATATATGTGCACTTGTGCACATACATTGTTTAAAGTTTTTTCAAAATATAAATATGTAATAAATCAAAACCTTTTATAGGTAGCATTTACTGCATGGTCATGTTCTTAGGTTATGTAAAGCAAGAACTTCTCCTTTTACACCTTCTGCTTTTAAATTTTTAAGAAAAGCATAAATTTGAGCCAACTTTTGTACGCATTTGAACAAATGAGAAGATTGTATTTGTAAAATTAGCTGTTTTCTAATAATGATGATATTTTTTATAGTACTTTCAGTGGTGATTTTTCAGGATGCTAACATTTATAAATTATTAGATTTATCATGCCTTTCAAGGGTAAGATGATCGGCAGAAGAATAGATAGAATCAATGATGTTTCCATTAACCGTTTTCCACCATCTAGTCAGTTATTAAGATAAGACTCAATCTTTTGGTTCTATATATTAGTGAACCATGTGACAAAGGGGATGACACATTTTCCATTATGAGTATGAGTATACATCTCATCGAAGTATATCTCGAGTACATAGATCTTTTTGTTGTAAAAACTTAGTATTTGCTATCTTTCGTGGTGTAGCATCTTTAAATAATATGGACCATCAATATTGTTACTATAGGACCAAAGCATTTTTTTTTATTAACTTTTCATAACAGATTGCCAAGTTGATAAAATCAATACTTTATATCAAGTATGAATTTGTAGCATTGAAATCTTATGTAATATGATATCATGTAATGCATATGTTTAGGTGGTCCTAAATTATAATTACAACTCAGAGGAGTTATTAGCACGATTTCAATATTTCATGCACAACTACAATTAACGAAAATAATTTTACTTCATAGCTTTCAACATATAAGGGAATAAGAGTTATCTACATCTAATTAGCGGAAGATGTCCATAATAATTGATCATCAACAAAAAAATTCCCACTATAAAAGCATATTATTAAGATAAACCACACTCATATTAGTTTCATGATCGTGAAACACATTAGTTGGTAAACCTTTAGTGAGCGGATCTATAATCATGAAGTTTCAATTGATATGTTTAATAGACATCTGAAGACATTGAACTCCTTTTTCAGCAAGAAATTTTATATCATGGTTTGACTTTGAAAAACTTATGTTCATGAAATGCAACTCAGCCAATGGGATCTTAACACTATCACTAATAAGTAGCCCAGTGATAAAATTTGATAGGGAGATCATTGATTGGATGCCTCATCATAAGTTAAAAATTCTGTCTCCATGATGAAATAAGTATGATTGATTGCTTGACACGCTTATATGACACAACTCTAACTATTATAAAAACATAACCTGAAGTGCATCTTCTACTATCAGGGCAACTTGTAAAGTCGAAGTTGGGATATCACACGCAATTTAAATGATTAGATATCCAATATTTGAGCATAATGTTATTTTTTCTCTTTATATACAACATTACTCATTTTTCTAGTTTTTCACTTACTAATTCTTGAGTTATTTAAATATCCACTAAACATTTAAACTATGTATGCAATATCCAGGCATGGACAATCTGAAACATATATTGGACTCACTACTATTGATGCATAAGTGATCTTTTTCATCTCTTCTTAATTTCAATCTTACGAATTGAAGCAAATCCAATATATACACCCTTAGCAATATATATCTCATGGTGCATATAAATAAAAGCATATATATATATATATATATATAAGCTTATTTTGGGAATCATTAACAACCCTGACATTTCAAGTACCAAGATTTAGGGAACCAAGAAATTTTACACTCATATTTTTGTATGAAGATGCTTATGATGGTGAGAAGCACAGGAAGCAGAAATAAAATTATGGCAAAATAGAAGGAATTTGTAAAATAAAAAAATTAGTAAAGCTTAATAATGTACTTTCTTATAATCAGAGGGGTTTTAACATATAATGAAGATTTCATTTGAAAAACCTGAATTTAAAACCAATGTTCATCACCAGCATTCACATAATGCAGGAATTTTTCATATTAGAATGAGCTCATATAATGAAAGATTCTTGTTTGGTAGGAGCTGTGGAGCAATGCAATTCCAGAGAGGCATAAGAGGAATGATTTCATTAATTAAGGAGAGGGGGGTGGTTTAGGTGGGGAGGGAGCACATTCAATTTGACTAATGTTATCCAAAGTTGGATAATTCATAAGATTAAGTAATTTTTATCAAAATTGAAGAAAAATGTACGAGTTTAAAATACTTACCACACTTGATTGGCTGATGCCTCTCAATTCTTATTTTTATGGTACAAGTTAGGAGGTTCTGAAACCGACCTGCCACTGTCACCTTTGGCTTGTTAAATGAGGAGACCAGATCAGTCAACAAGATTTAAGGCTTTGCTAGCAAAAGACTAATTTAGGGATGGGGAGTCGGTGCAATTCATTTTTAGCCAAACATAGCAGCAGTCCTTGATCAAGGAGGTTAGGCAGATGTGAGTGGTAGTGTAGTGTCATTGCTGTTTAAGAGGGAGGCCATTTGATGTGAATGGTAAGGGTTTTAGGAATGACAATACTCAAATGATAGGTGAAGAAAGTGATGAACAGACTGAGCAATAAATATCTAGTTTGATGCTTAAGGACCTTGGCTAGCCCAGGAAGATTTTTGTTGGGTGGGGCTGCTGAGCATTGTGACTCTAGAGAGAAGTGGGAAGGAATTATTTCAGAGAGAGAGAGAGAGAGTACTTCTAGGTTATTAGCTATTCGTACAAGTGGCTGGAGAAGAAGATTAGATTCTTTTTGGCTGTTATCATTACATGGTTTCATGCCTTTTTTTCTTGCTTTTAAAATGCACTAATTTTTGTTGTTTTTTCTTGAGCAGTACTTCCTAGCCTTTTAGGCTGTTAGCAATTCTTATATGTTAGTCTTTCTTGCTATTATGTAGAAGATTAGATATGTTTATGTGTTATGTATATCATTATATGGTTTCATGCGTTTTTTTTATTTGATTTTATAATGCAATAGAGGCATCTTGTGGTTATAAGTGATTTTTTCTGCTTTAACAAGTCGACCTATGTGCATGTGATGTCTTTATTTCATGGCTCCATGGTATTCATTTAATTCCTTCTGTGCATGCCATGAATGTCATTTGTACTAATTTTTCTCCCAATAGCTATGCAAAAGTTTGGGTGCTCCTACATGATTTAGCTTGGATTTTTCAATCATGCAACTTTGTAATAGTTAACCATTGCAATATCATTTTTTTATATTTTGCAGCTTTAATTTATTAATGGGGGATGTGGAAGAATACCGCTGTTTTATTGGAGGCCTTTCATGGTCCATTACTGATAATTCTTTGAAGGATGCATTTGAGAAGTTTGGCCATCTTACTGAGGCCAAGGTATCCCTTAATTTAAATTTTTAATTTTTCTTCCATATATTATGGAAAGTTTATATTTTCTTGTTTTGATGCTATAAGAATTTTCTTGTATTGACGCTAAAAGATTATCTATATTACAATGTTTAAAATTGTGTATTCGGGTATTGAGGCGTTTTTCATTCGTGAGGCGAGGCGTAAGCCTTAAGGCGTTTTAAGACGTAAGCCTCAAAATCAAAAGATTGCGTAAATATAAAATGATAAATTTTTTATATACTAATGAGTGAATAATATAAAACATAAAAAAGCATAAGATATGAAGTGAAATCAAAATATCCCAATAATTAGACAACATGAAATATAGTTCAACTCAAAATTCTATCTTTCCCAAATCCCAGTATTATTTTCATTAACATATAATTCCAATTTTCAAAAATAAATAGCAATGACATATCACATAAGAACTCATAAGTCATCAGCACTATCATCACTAAGGGGTTCTTCATTTGAATCATCATTATGATGAACTGCTCTCTCCCCTTCCTCCTCTCCTATAGAGTCCAATGTTGGGCATTTACTTCAAGATTTATGTAAGTTTTAATATATATAGCGTGAGGCGTAAGCCTCATATCAGTGAGGAGAGGCGGGCCTCAAGGCCGGTCTTAACAAAGTTGAGGCGCAAACCTCATAAAAAAATTTCGAGGCGTAAGCATCGAGGCGTTTTTTACTGGAATTGCGTAAAGGCGGGCCTCAAGACGAGCATATTGTGCAATTTTAAACCATGCTATATTATAGTGTTAGGTTGTTTTGTTGCTTTAACTATTTAATCCTGAATTTAGTCGTCATTTGCAATTTCACTCGCCCATTTAATGAGTCTCCCCAAATTTGGAGGTTGAATTCAGATTAATAAAGCCTTCTATCCAATGCTTAACTCTGACTTATATAGTTTTGTTTGTGATAACTGGTGATGTAGGGAGCCTTGTGGAAATAAAAAGGAATATATATATATATATATATAAGCCTTGTGCTCTTGAATAAGGCGATTAACTTTCTCAAAAGTGTTTTAGATCTCACAAACCGAGGATCAGAATCATGGGATGCACCCCACAATAAGAATTTTATTCATACCATTATTCTTTTTAAATGATTGAGAATGCTTCTTATTTATATGAAAATTAGTAACAAATTGCTAACAAATTATATTATATTGGTCAAAAATGTAAAAGTTATAAAATAACTAAATTATGCAAGATAACTAGCTGCATAACACCGCTGCAGATATTAGTATTGATGAGTTGGCTAGTGAGCCGACAAATTCTATAGAATTAAGTCTGAGCTAGAGTTTGACTCTAGTCTCTTTCAAGCTGAAGCTGGGGTGGAGCGAGCTTGGCTCAATTCGGCTTATTTACATATTTACACCCCTATTATAGGGAGATCAAAATCTTTCATCTTGATTTTACTACTGTTGAATCTATCAAATGGATTGTATTTCATGAGAGTTCGTCGCACTGTATATGAAGAAAAGCCCCCCTAAGCTCTTTACTGTTAATGTAGTTTATGTTTTCATTCGTGGGCAAGCAGGCTCCTCTTTCAGCTGCATTGTTGTCCATCCCTTCTCTTTTCTTTTTCTTCTCATGCTTCCCTTCTGAACGGTGTAATTTTTTTGAATAACTTTTCAATAGTTAATAATAGCATTTAATAATTTTCTTTATCCACAAAATTTATGCTTTTTAATTACATGGCTTGAATATTATTGTGTGGGTGATTGAAAGCGTAGAACTTGTTTGTTATTGGCCATTGTTTTCTTTTAGAAAATTTTGCCTATTTGTTGTTGAAGCTATCTACATATGTTGAAATTTAGGTGGTTGTTGATAAGTTTTCTGGTCGATCTCGTGGATTTGGTTTTGTTACATATGATGAGAAAAGAGCTATGGAAGATGCCATTGATAAAATGAATGGAATGAGCCTTGATGGACGGTCTATAACTGTAGACAGAGCTCAGCCACAAGGTTCAAGCAGAGATCGTGATGGAGGACGTGATTATGACCGTGATAGGGATCGGGATCGTGGGCGTAGCTCTGGTGGGGGTCGAGGTTCTGGCGGAGACTGTTTTAAATGTGGCAAGCCTGGTCATTTTGCTAGAGAGTGCCCTAGTGATGGCAGCAGAGGAGATAGGTATGGTGGTAGGGATGATAGGTATGGAGGTAGGGATGACAGATCTGGAGGAGGTGGCAGCAGTAACCGTTATGGATCTGATCGTGGTGGAGATCGCTATAGTGGACGTAGCCGAGATAGTGGAAGTCGTGGTGGATCAGGGAGTGATCGTTATAATCGTGATCGTTCTGGTCCGTATGAACGCCCGAGTGGCGGCAGCTATCGCAGTTGATGAGGTGCTCACTTTTGTTTCAGGTATGTTATGTGTATTCCTATTACTTACCAAGTTTAATCTTGCAAAATCAAACTTTGATGATGACATAGGTGGTCAATTGTGGTGGAGCTACTTTTGTCAAAAGCTACATGGTGGCGTGCTCCTTGCTTGGTGACTGGCAACCATGAACATGCTTTCTTTTCTTCTAAGATTTACCGGCGTGCTCTCCTTTTGCAAGTTTGGATCTTTTACTGGATGATCTATTGTGTTTATTCTGTCAGATGTTCATTTGCTGATTGCATCAACTGCTGCTTAATAGTTGCTTGACCTGAAACTGATCTTGGTACATTAGTTTACAACTGTTGATACTAAATTCGAGTTGATTGGCAATCACTCTGCTTTCTGGTTCTTAATTGGTGCTTTGGTACTTATCTTGATGCTACTATAGAACCACTAGTGACAGAATGTTGACTCATCAAGTTCAAAATCAATATTTGGCACTGTTCGTCTTTAGGGGAACCCCGTAAGATTACTGTTTGTCCATGAAACTTCGGAATAATTACTACAACAACAACATCAAGCTTTTGTCCCACTATGTGGGGTCGGCTACATGAATCTTTTTTCGCCATTTTTTAAATGATTCATGTCATGATTATCCAACAAATTTTACGCTGGGTGTTGACCACCTAACGTAACCCTCCACTTTTCACATCCAGGACTTGGGACCCGGCAACGGCAGTATTAAATTTCGGAATAATTAACAACAAGAAAATAGCCTTGCATGTACTTACTAATGTTGTTAGTGCTGGAAACAGTGCTTTTACTCAGGTCGCAGATATAGAAATTTGGTAAGTATAGACGCCTTTTGATATAGACGGGACAGTATTTCTTCACGACAGTATTTCTTCACGATTCTTGATTTGTTTAACCGAGAGCTACATTTTTGACAGGCTGCACTCGAGCTTTTAATAGTTCTTCGTTCTTAGTGCTCTCTGGGTTACTATATGCTAGTCTTGCACTTGGAATTTAGTTGTTTGCGTGCTACTACCTGAGGCTAGTTCGAAACAAATTAAAGTCTAGTTGCCTGCTTAGACAGTTTGGTCCCTTGTTACCTTTTTTGAATGGGCTGCTCTTGTCCTGCACATGCATTACTGCAGACAAATTGAATTCTTTCTTTGTGACAAGGAATCATGCCGCAAAGCAACAAGTAAATCTTGGTCGAGCTAGCAGGCAACTCAAATCAATTTATCGTGGCCAACACTTAAGGCTGTCACGGCCACTGAAGGGATTCGAGCCCGGTACCTGGGCTTTGCCCAGCCGAGCTCCCCCCACCTGAGCTAAAGCCGCGGTGGGTCAAATTGGTACAACGGTTCTATTTCTCTGTTGTTTCGCTACTTTGGGTTCCAGAGTTCATCCCCATTTGCTTGTCTAGTGGCTCTTTCTGGGATTCTGCCCTACTTTTCTTGGGTTAAAATAGGATTTGTTTTGCCTAGCCATGGTCATTTTGATTTAGCTTTCCTTGATGTGCTACCACAGAAGATTTTGCTAATTTATACCTATGAAATCTACCTTATGGGATCTGTCCTTGCGCTGTGGAATTCTTCTATGTTCCCTTGATTTTACGGTTTTCTAGCCATCCCCACAAGGTCTCGATTGGTAAAGGCTCCAGCCTCCAAGAAACCTCAGTTCTGCAGATTGTGCTATGGAACTTTTAATAGTTTTCTTAGATTTAGGCTTCGTTTGGAATGGCTTATTTACTGCTTTTTAAAGCAATTTTTTGATATTAAAAAGTTGCTTTAAAAAATAGTAAGAAAATTATTCGTATTGATTTTTTATTCATTTGTTTTATGAATTTAGTGAACTCTGATGATTATATTTTACTTTGCTTTAAGTTCATTCATCTATTCCTTTCGGTAATGCCAGAGTTCAATTTTTCATTGACCATATTCTTCTTTGCCAGTGTAAATATTTTTCTGCTTGTGAATTATAAGGATGTCTCCCGTTTTGTCAATATTCTGTTCTTTACAAAATGTTATTCTGATTGTTTTGCTTCTGTTATATTTAGTTGTAATAAAAATTATAAAGATATGATAAATTAGAGAAATAATATAAACCGATTCAGGATAATGAAGAAAATTTCAAATATTTTTTACTTATTTTTTTTTAAGTTTTAGTTTAGTACCAATAATTTAAATTAATCTCTTAAATGACCTGCACATAAAACTCACTAGTTATGATTGACATCTCCCCCTCCCCTTCTATATGATATACCTCTGATGGAAGCTGATGGCTGTCTATGCAACTCTTGAGAACTCCACTTTCTTATCCTTCTGCTCTCCTATGCCTTTGCTTAATTGCCAGAGTTGGCCATCTTTTTATTTGATTTCATACATGGGGCGTTTTATAGGCTTGGTTTTTGAGATTTAGATATAGTTTGGGATAAATTTTTTAATTTTTTTTTATAAGTTTTTTAGTACAAAAAATTTGAAATTTGTATTAGATAAATGTTTTAGAAAGTAATAAGAAAGCTTTTCCAAATATGGCGTGATTGTTTTATTACTGTTTTTTTGAAGTAGTTTTTAATATGAAGTTTTTTTGAAGCAGTAAAAAGTAGTGGCAAAAAACGTCATTAATATATAACCTTCTAAAAATTGACACAATATTAATTAAGTAAACTAATGAGCTAATTTAAATTAACTAATTATTTATTTTAGTATTTTGAGTTATAATTTAAATAAAAAAGAGTAATAATTTTAACAAACTTTGTTTAGCGATCGAGTGGATTGGGGTTAGATATCCTCCCGAAAGAGCGAGGTTAAAACCCTAACATAGTTACGGGTTAGATTTTATTTGTTGATATTTGTATTATTGCGTGTGTTTTACTGGCGAAAAAATTTAAATTAGAAATTCATCAGAAATGCATTATTTCGATGGAAATTGGTCGATTCTCTACAAGAAAGGCTGTCGAAAATTAGTCATTTTCCAATAGTGCTACAATTATGATTTCTTCTTTAAAGATCTAAAAAAATGATATTCATTAGAAATACTAAGAAAAATCAACTTATTAATATTTTGTTTCTCTCTACTTCTATCTTCTTGTCTAATGTAATTGATTACTTATTGAAAATGTAGTTTTAAGTGTTATAATTGTATTATTACAATCATTAGGTCAAGCAAAGCTTCACTTTTATCAACCTTGACTTTGTTAGCAAAATCAATAAAAGCATTGCTATATATTAAAAAAAGATTTATTCTGAACTAATAATTTGTACATCAAATTATTCATTTATCTGATTAAAATGCATATAAATCATAAGCTTTAAATATTATATCCATATATTTGGGCATTCCATGCCGATTACAATCAATGTGATTTAAAGAACATCATATGAATACACCTTTTAAATTCTAAAAGAAGGTTAACAAAGTAGTCTTTTGCTATAATTCAATACCTATATAGTTTTAGATAAAAAAGAACTAAAGCTTCCTTCCAAATAATACTTTAGTTACAAATGACCTATGACCCAACTTTATGACCCTAAGAAAGAAAGACTCATGCATTAAAACCTATTGGGCGTATCTAAAAACATCAAGCATCAGCTCAGAATCCATCAAGATGGGAGTATTCAAAACCTTTTACCAGTACAAGAAATCAATAACGGCGGCATTTCCGGCAGTAAAATCATCACGGTAAATACAGCGGTTTAACCGTCGATTTGTTCGCTAGTAAAAAGCGTTACTAATACTGGCGTTTTAACCTCAGGAATTTTCAGCGGTCAATTGATCGCCATAAAAGCCGCCATTAATTTCTAACTACGACTCGCTTACCAGCGGTCTTGGCGGCACTTGGCTTTAACCATCAGAAATGCCACTTGTTTTCTCCCTAATATCCCAACCCACTGTACCCTTCTTCTCATTTCAATGCTTCGTTTCATTCATCCGTCTAGAGAAAGTGAGAAATTCCAACAGGAAGTAATACTCATCATAAATCAATTCAGTGATCGTGCCAAGTTTTATTGCATCACTTGATTCTTCACGAATGAATTTTTATGAGTATTTTGATCTCGTTGTTCAAGAATTTTTCACTTATTGTCTAGTCTAATAAATTTTCCAACCTCTACAATCCCCTCCTCTTCTTTATCTTTTTAGTTTCAAGCTTAGAAAAGGATAAGAGCTTCTAGAAAGTGTGTGCCAATGATTTGATAAGTTGCTGACTCAATACTACTGTACATGATATATATTATGCATGTGAAATGCTTGGGAGGTATATGGGCTTGAGGGGACTTATATGATGTAATGTAATGATGTATTTGGGAGGTATAAGATTCTGAGGGGGTTAATATGATATGATGTGATGATGAGAATGTAACTACTTTGATGTGGTTGCTTGAGCATAGTTCGAGGATTATAACAAATTTTGAGAGGAGAGGCTCTACTCATCTTAGAGACATGTTCATGAATATTATAAAGTATGGGCAGTGTCCATTATGGATTGGCGAGGGAGTATGGGCTGATTGGAGCAAAGCTTGGGAGAGCCATAAGTTCACAAAATTGAGAAAGTAGAATAAGCAAAATGGAGCATCTAACTGTGGGGTTTTATGGAGCTCTCTTCATACTAGTGTGAAAGTTCATTAGGGGTGTTAAGCCCTTATGAACTAGTCTCGAGGCTAACCAAGAGGGCATGTGAATTGATATTTTAAAAACTTTTCGATTAAACCATGAATTGAAACCAAAACACAATCCACCACAAAAATAATGAGTGCGGAAATTAAATGCGGAAGTAAAAACAAAGAAAGAACACAATGGATTTATAGTGGTTCGGTCAAACCTTGACCTACGTCAATCCTTCAACTTCTATCCTGCTCAGATAGAATATCCTATCACAATAGGGAATCCCCCTAACCTTTGGGCTTGATTCGGTGGAGGCACCCTCAGACTATTGCACTAACTTAGTGTCTCTCCGTTAGTCCCCACAGTTAGGCGGAGAAGCCTTTACAAAAACTCCTTTCCACCAACCCCGGTGTGACAGAGAACCGACTTCTTTTGCTTCCTCTTGAAGTGGGCAGAGAACCCAACTCATTTTGCTTCCTCCTGAAGTAGGCAGAGAATCTCGATCAATTGCTGAAGAAGACCTCCTTTGAACCTCCAAGAACGAGGAACGACGATTGGAGAAGACGCCTTGGAACCTTGCTTGGAGCAACCCTTGTGAAACCCCTCACAAGCTCCCCCTCACAAGTTCCTCCCTCTCTCTCCCTCTCTCTCTCCCTCTTCTCTAGGCTCTCCCAGGTCAAGACAATAACAAAGGATCTTCTTTTCTTGAGAAAACATGAGTCTTTTAAATAGATTTTCAAGAACCGACTTTATCGTCCAAGACGATATTACTATCGTCCTGTACGATCAGTACAAATTAAGCTCAATCAGCCCGGATGACTTGGGACGATTAGAAGATTTTTTTGTTCATATCTTCCAGGACGATATATTATCCTCCTGGACGATTAGTACAAATCAGGGAATATCGTTCTGAACATCGCTCTGAATAGGAGTCTGGACGAAAACAAAATGACTTGATCGTCC